ATTCATTTAATTAAATGCAAGCATATAGTAGATTCCACAAAAAGTACATTATCCGATTAAATGCGGATTTTTTTTTTTTTTTTTTAACGAATGGATATTACGATTTTACATTAAAACAAAATGTATTATGGTTTAAAAATTTCGAGATAAATCTTATTTCAGAAAGTTATAACTACAAGGTAAAACACGCATAAAAATACATATTAATATACAAATATACACATAATATACACAATAATATCAACAATAATATAGACATATGAAAGTTGAATAAAATACTCTGAAATCAATTCTATCCAAATAAGTTTAGTTAAAAATAAGAAAATACAAAGTTTTATTAAAAAATTTTAAATATATACTAAATCAATGCATTTTTTTTCTCGATTAATGTTTTTAATATTTTTGTTTTCTCATATAGTAATAATAATAATAATGACGACGACGACGACGACGACGACAACCATAGCAATAATAATGTTGAATTAAAAATTATTGTTTTTAAAATCTCTACATAATTTAATGTATTATGATTACCGTTGATAATTCAATTTAAATGAATTAATCAAGTAGTTAGTCATCGTATAATATATGCATTAATTTTAAAAGAGATAAGACAAAAATTATGCGTTACAAATTACTAATTGTTAGATTTTCAAAAAATAATTAATTTCGATAAAAAAAAAAAATAGGCTTATCGTTACTATTTTGTATTATCGTAAGCATTTTTCCCAGTAAATTGATGAAGTCAGCGAAATGATTAGTTTCTTTTTTTTTCTCCTCTATAATATGTCTAAAAATTAGATTGCAAACAATGGTATTGTACTTATCTATATCTAAAGAAATTTTTAATTTTAGAAAAGTGGAAGAACGGTAATAAATTCTTATCACTACATGATGCTCGAATACTAAAATCAAGTACTTACATTTCATTATTATATTAACGTCCGTGAAACATTTACAAATTATTGTTCAGATTACTCATATTATGCAACAATTAATTTTGTATTTGTATCATCAAATTGATTGTTAAGCAAGTTTATTATCAGCAATATTTAATACATTAGGTTATAGTTTCGATAGATAAAGAAACTTTTAAAATATATAAAAATAATACAAGCGATATGAAAATGACACGATGGAGCGATAAATAAGAAAACTTATTCAGAAAATCTGTACACGGGAATGCCAATGATTTTTATAATTACATCACTCTATATAAATAGATACGTAATATATGATTATATAAATAAAATATCTAAAGATATCGATAGATTTATAATGGATGAAGAGAAGTATGTTAAATAATAAAAATATTGAAAAGGGACAGCAGGAGCAAATAATGAATACCATATTATTAAAAGTATTTTAAAATGCCTAATAGTTATATATTGGATGTATTTTATAGTAGGGGAGGAGGAGAGAGAGAGAGAGAGAGAGAGAGAGAGAGAGAGAGAGAGAGAGAGAGAGGGGTGTGTGCATTAAATTATTATTTGGTATTCAAATAGTGAATTAATAAAAACGATCGCTTTATTAAACATTTTGCTTAAGAAATGTAAATATTGATAGAGAATAATTAAGTGAGGTAAGAGAAAATTTACAATTTCTTGATAAATTATCGTCAATAGAATTTATACTATAAGAAATATTTATCATATTACGTAACCGTTATAATGATATATTTGCAAATTATCTATTTATTTAAATTAACGTGTCTTATAAGATATTGAGGATATTTAAGTGCATCGTTATTGTATGTGTGTGGATATAAGCTTTAAAAGTTCGCTGGTTAGTCTATTTTGGCGCTTTTCTGGGCTGCTCCAAATTCGAATCTAAGTGATTAATAGCATCGAACTTATTGCGCAAAGCAGCTTAGACCCAAATCACAATCGAACGTTCATGAATTCTCATCAATTTTGAAGTATTTGTCTTTGGAGAGGCAGTGTTGCGAATGAGTATCGTTGAAATGATTATTTGTGAAAAATGTAAGTCGTATAAGCTGGAAGAGCAGCGACTATAAGCACATGCCCGTGTGCAACAATTACTTTACGTAGTTTGTAAATTAATTATTCGACAACTACGTATTAAATTCTTACATTTAGCGCTTGAATTATCAACTCAATTATAAACTCAAGCCTGTCGCTCGCATAATAATAAAATGGGGGATGTGCGGGCAGTTTTCGTTAATTGCTCAAGATTAGCGCAAAATCCGATTGGCTTATAGGCGATTAATTAGATTTTACGTATTAAAATTGATTGTGGAAGGCGCACGTCATTTGTATATTACACTGGGCAACTGGGATTTGGAAACCCAGGGCACAATATAAATAATATTTACATTTACCGAAATATGACTTTATATTACATTTTTTTCGTTATTCGCACTCTATTTTTTTTTTTTTTTTTAATTAAGAATTTCTCACGTAATATCGATAAATTGTATTTTTATTGTAATAACTAAAACACATAAATTCTATTCTTGATTACCCTATTTTCATCCATATGATTCAATTTATTTCTAAGTGTCCTGCAATTTTTACAAATCGCATGCTTACTTTCTTCGTATCATATTTACAAATACGAATCACAACTAAGGTAACAATATTTAATTATTAATCACTCACACACTCTCTCTCTCTCTCTCTCTCTCATTTTTTATATACACACACACACTCATATATATATATATATGCAATAAGCTATTAATTATCTTGAATTTACAACATCAATATTAAATGGACAAATTTTGTTATCTGCGTATATTAATGCGTAAGTGAAACCAATGGTGAATATAGCAAATAAAGTCGTCTTAGCACGATTGATAATTATTATCTATTTATTTTTATTGGAGTAAATAATATTACGTATTCAGTTATCGTAATTAATAATTCCAGGTTTTTCACAGCCTCGCACTTGATGATATCAACGTACACATAGATTTAGACGCTAAACAACTTGTATTGTCTAATTACATCGAATCGTTGGATATGCACTTAGCGCTATGCGACATTCGCATTAATGAAAATACAATTTATTACGCGAATGCCAATAAGGAATAATTGAACATTACATTATACCCAATTCCTTTAATATCCAATAGCAATTTGCTAGGCCGAGATTAAGAAATTGTCTTTAACCGCTTTAAGTCGAGTCGTTTCTTTCTACAAATTCATTCTCAATATACAACACACGCGCGCGCGCAAAAACACACAGATAATGCATTCTCAAAGTCGGACAATTTTTCTAGTATAATGGGGGCTAATAAAAAGTTGGGCATATACTCACGAGGGTTAGCTTTGGTTTTCCCCAACAATCGACACAACTCTTCCTGGAATCGGTCCTACCTCTGACAACAATCAAATGCATCTCACCCTCCCTCCTCTGCCGACAAACCGCCAAAAAAGTTCGTTTCACGAAGAGCG